CTTGGCAGGGGCCATGAGGTGCAGTTCAGACCGTGAGCTCACTCTGGCCTCGCTGGCACCCATGAGAAATACAGCAACGTGTGAGCTGGGCTTTGCTCAGGCTGCCCTTAGGGTGCTGTCTTTGGATGCTGCCTGCTGGAGGACAGGTTAATATGTTGTTATGGTCCTGAACTTGGAGCAGAGGAGCTGGGGGAAGGTCCAGTTGGAGGCACTGTCTCTGTGGTGTCCCAAAGACACAGCAATTGCTGTGCCTGGCATTCCAGTCAGACGTGTGGCTCAGTCTGCTCTCCTCCACACAGCCTTCCACACGTGCAGTGGAGCAGAGTCAGCACCACAGGGGGAACTTCACCTTCTGCATTTACTGACTCGTGTGCTTATGGCTGTGTGAAGCATTGCATTAAATACACAGTAGTTTCTAGCACCTAATAAGGAAGGGCTTTCTTACTGTTATTGTTACAGCGTGGGTTGTTATAGTGCTGGGGACAGGGAGGCTTGGTCTGACCAAGAGGATGAGGGTTTCCTATACCTATATGATGGGGGAAAAATAAACATATGCTTTGGGTCCAGGTCTGGATGTAAATGTTGTGCCTCAGGCTCCTCTCAGCTTTAAGGCTGGCAAAGTCTTTGGCTGGTTATGCTGATGGGGTGAAGCCAACGTCAGATTTTGTCAGTGTGCAGATCTAGTCAATATTTGAACTCTGTACCCCCTCTGTGGGAGTTTATGAGCACTAAACTGTGGGTATATAGGCTTATATGGAAGTGCGAATGCTCCTCTGATTTTTATCCAATCCAATCAGGCCTTTTGGCACAATTCAGCAAGGCTGGAGCTCTATTCTGGGGAGGGGGAGGTTCCCGGGACCTTATGCTTTACCTCATGCTTTTAATTAGAAAAAGAAGCGATTTCATTCTGCAAAGGAAAGAAAAAGGGAGAGAGAGAAACCCTACCTTTCTTCCCACAGTTTCTCTGTGACTTCAGGGTCAGTCCTTGTCATATGTCAATGGATGTGGCGTGGCACAACCATGACACAGCCTCACCTTGCAGGTCTGCTATGGCCGCTTTGTGGGGTTTATTTTTGGTTTACCCTGTATTTCCCCCACTGCTATACCCTGCCCTGCTTCTGCTGGGAGCCTCTGTTTCGTGAAACTGGTTGCTCTGCGGTGACTTGTGGAGCTTCTCGGTGTGTGTTCACTGGACATCTTGCCTTGCTTTCCTCAGTCCCCTACGGTGTGCGTTTTGTGGGGTTTATTTTTGGTTTACCCTGTATTTCCCCCACTGCTATACCCTGCCCTGCTTCTGCTGGGAGCCTCTGTTGTTTCGTGAAACTGGTTGCTCTGTGGTGACTTGTGGAGCTTCTCGGTGTGTATTCACTGGACATCTTGCCTTGCTTTCCTCAGTCCCCTACGTGCTGAAGAGCTGTGCAGAGTTCATTGAGACTCATGGCATTGTGGACGGGATCTATCGCCTCTCAGGAGTGACCTCCAACATACAGAAGCTGAGGTAAGGGCAGCCTGTCTGCCTGCCAGAGGGTTTCGCTCCTCCCTAGAACCACAGGATGGTTTGGGCTGGAAGGGACCTTAAAGATCTTCTGGTTCCAAACCCCCTGCCACGGTTCCAGCTCACCTCCCACTAGCCCAGGTTGTGCAAGGCCCCATCCCACCTGGTCTTGAACACCTCCAGTGATGGAGCATCCACAGCTTCCCTGGGCAACCTGTTCCAGTGTCTCGCCACCCTCACAGTGAAGAACTTCTTCCTTGCATCTAATCCAAATTTACCTTCTTCCACTTTGAACCCATTGCTCAGTATCTTCTCACTGTTAGTCCTTCAGGCATGGGCTGGGGCCAGCAAAGCTCTACACTGATGCAGAGTAGAAACCTATCTCTGAAGCTGGTAACAGGCACATACAACATTTCAGGGATTAGTCCATGGCAAAGAAGAAAATTCTCCCTCTGCACGTATGAATGGGAAAGGTCTGGAGGGTCTCAGCACAACTGCCAAGTTGTTCCCTCTCACTTCAAAACAAAGCAATCTCCTGATAACAGGTTGGGATCTGCTCACAGGACTGTTAGGGAAACCAGAGAGGAACTGAAGCCTTGGGGATGGATCCTGGGAGACAGCCTGGGCCAGGCTGCAGAGAAATCTCTTCTGTCCAGTTGGTTTTCCCTTCTCACTGCAAAAGAGCCCTGGGATGCCGCAGCTCTTATTCACCTCCATTATGTTTCTGTGCTGTTTCAGACAAGAGTTTGTTTCTGACCAATGCCCAGATCTGACAAGAGAAGTTTACCTGCAGGATATCCACTGCGTGGGGTCCCTCTGCAAGCTGTACTTCAGGGAGCTGCCCAACCCTCTCCTCACTTATGAGCTCTACAAGAAGTTCACGGTGAGACCCTCTGCTGTTTCCCTGCAGCAGGGGGATGTGCTGCAGGTTCCCCCACGACAGCTGGTTGGGACTCACCCAATGTCCTGGCTGCTGGTGCATCTATCTCTATAAACACTTCTCAGCCTTCTTCCTTTCTTGTCTGGCACTTGCTCTCTTTCCATGTCCTTGTTTCTTTTCCCCATTTCATGTTTATTTCTCTCAATTTCTCTGCTGTTTCTTCCCCTTCATCTTTTCACTGCATTGCTTCCCTGCTGTCACACTTTCTCTCCACAGCGCTCCTCCTCCCAGAACTGCTAATTCTCCCTTTTCCTCATTACTGTCCATCCCTGAGAGTCTTCTTGGTCACCTGGGGTTTGTGATCATTATCACAGGGGTGTAGTTTCCTCCTCCAACAGCCCCTGGCACCTGCACAGACTGGTTGCTCAGCCCATGTGCAAAGCACCAGCTTTCCTGCAGCGTTTTTCAGGCAGGCTGTGGGAGTGCCAATGGTGACACAGGTTATGGCAGCTGTGGCATGTTGGGGCCATGATGATCACGTCAGAAAAACAAGTGGCAGAGGAAAGTGGCAGCTGGCCCAGCAGAAATCTCTAACCTTGTTTAAAGAGATTATCATTCAGAGAGCAGTTACTTGATTCTGCAAAGCAGCCGTAGATTGCACATGGGTACAGCTGGAGCCCAGGAGCAGACTGCGGGGGAGTGGAAAAATAAGACCACAAAGCCTGAATTTTAAGAGAGTTGTCTAATTTTGATGACAGATCATCTTTTGCTAAAAGGTGGCACAGCGAGTTGTGCTCCTTGTTAAGGCTGTCAGCTTCTTACCTCTCTAAATCCACGTTCAGTTGTTTATGACTCCAGCAAATTTAAATCCAGACATTCAGGCTGAAATCTTACGTGCCGTAAGCATGAATTTTCAGCTAAAAGAGTTCATCAGCTTCTTAAAACAACGGGGGTGGGAGGATGGGAAAGATTGTTTTCTCAGCGTTAGAGACATCCGTCCTTTGTTAAGAATCTCTGTCATCCTACTCCTTCCCATTTGCTGGAGGTGGAGGGGACAGACATGGCCAGAAACGTCAGATGAAAATTGAATTTGAGCTGTATCTTCAGATCCTGAGAATATAGGATAGGGTCTTTAAACTAGAGACAGTCAGGATGAAAAGGATCTTGAAAATACAGGGTATTATTCAGCCATTCACAGAAACTGATGAATCCCATTCTTGCTGGAGCTATTTGGCTGGTGTCTTTTTAGCTATCACTACTGATTTATGAAAGAAAAATGCTCTAAAGGAAACATGAAGATTTAGATGGAAACTTTTTTTTTTTAGGAAAGAATGTTTGCTGAAAAGTGCAGCTTTGGGATGATGACTTGCAGATTTTCGGTAGATGCATTTGGTAAATAGCTTTATTCAAAAACAAAAGGGAAAACATTTCTGCAACTGTCTAAATGTTTCTTTTACGAATACTTTCTAAAGGAAACGCTTCAACGTTGAATCAACACATCTACTCTTAAATAAAATATCTTTCAGAAAGGGGTTAAACAGCCCCAGGTTAACCTCACTGGCTACCAGCTTCTGCCAAATGATGCTCTCACAATTTTCATCTTGCTGTCTTGTGTTCTATTGGTGGATGCTTGTTGCACAGGAGAGTTGAGTTGTCTCTGCTTGGCTTCTTCTAGCTTGGGCATAGCCAGACCAAGTGCTCCCTCAGAGCAGATCAGCTGTAGGAGGCCAAGTCCACCTTCTCTCTCCAAACTGACCCACTCATTAACCAGCACTTAGGAGTTGTGCCCTCCCAGAACCACCAGTGGGGTCAAAACAGTCCTAAATTATTTAATCCCAGCCAGCAACTCATCACCACGCAGCCCTTGCTCACTCCTCCTCCCTCCCAGTGGGATGGGGAGAAGAATCAAAGTAAAGTAGTAAAACTTGTGGGTTGAGATAATAGTTGTTTAATGACTGAAGTGAAATACAATAACAGTAATAATACTAACATCTAACACTAATTGTATTGAAAAGGAAGGTAAGGAAAAGAGAGCAATGAAACCCCAGAAAGGACAGGTGATGGGCAGTGCAGGTGCTCAGCACCCACTGACCCTCTCCGAAGCAGTGACAGGCAGCTCCCCCCAATTTACTTACTGACCCTGACGTTCTGTGGTCACACATTTGGCTGGTTTGGGTCAGCTCTTCTGGCTGTGATCCCCACCAGCTTCATGTGCACCTGCCTGCTGGCAGAGCATGGGAAACTGAAAAATCCCTAACTTAGGGTAAGTGCTACTTAGCAACAACTAAAACATCCATGTGTTAGCAACATGATTCTCACACCGAATCCAAACCACGGCACTGTAGCAGCCCCTAGGAAGAAAATTAACTCTATCCCAACTGAAACCAGGACAGACATTTTCAGGGAGGAGGGCTCACTCTTTCTTAATTTGTTCCATTATTTTCACTTCTTTCTTTCCTTCTCTTTCTGTTACACCCATCACTGTCCAAATTAAAAAAGGGAAAAAGAACAGGGGAAAAAAAATAAAAGAAACAGAACTTCTAATGGAAGGTCTTAGTGTTTAAATGCCCCTCTCCCCAAACCACTGACCAGCACGTGGGGAGGATGTACCAAGGGGTGTAATAAGAGCGCCCAAATCTCTGCTGCTGTGGGGACAGAGAACAACTCCTGCTGATAGCTCTGTGAGGTGACGAGAGCACTTCCTGCAGGACAGGCTGTCTCAGGCCACCCTCCTTACCCCTCGTCCCCCTCCCTTCCCCGAGCCCCATGCCCGGGCAGACCCTTTCCTGTGCCCCTGCAGGAAGCAGTGTCGCGCTTCCCCGAGGACGAGCAGCTGGCACGGATCCAGGATGTCCTGCAGGAGCTGCCACCACCCCATTACAGGTGAGACCGTGTCCCCAGGGAGCTGAGGAAGAGGGTGGTGCCTGTCGTGGCCAGGGAGGGTTGCCTGACACAGCGCTGGAGTGCACTCCCAGAAGGTGGTTCCTAAAGGCTGGCTCAGCCCTGCCAAACCTGACCGTGTATCTGGCCTTTGGATATCACTGAACAAACTGCTGTTAGAGCCTGAACAAGCTCTCCCCACTGCAGTCTGTCCTCCCCCTGCCCCAGGTACCACCCCAGGGCACCCTTGGCCAGTGTCCTGGGTGTGGGGAGGAGATGATCTGCTAGAGGTGATGAAGAGCTGAGCCCCAGCCTTTGCAACACCCCCTCCCTCTCACCCATCTGCCACCTTCAGACTGCTCCCACTAAGGACTGTGGCTCCTGCCCCATCCTTTGGCACCCCAGAGCACAGCTGTTGAGATGTTCACTGCTACCAGATGCTGGTGCTGCACATCCTCTGGGGCCCGTTGTGCTGTTGCAGACACTGTCCTTGTTGAGGAGGGGAGAGCTGAGGCCAGGGCTGGGTCTGAGCCTTGCTGTCCCAGGGGACAGGCACCCAGCACTTGACACGTTTTCCTCTCTCCATGTGAAACCACTGCAGGACACTGGAATACCTGATCAAGCACCTGACTCACCTGGCCTCCTTCAGCAACATGACCAACATGCACACCAGGAACCTGGCCTTGGTGTGGGCTCCCAATCTCCTCAGGTACAGCAGAGTCCTCTGTCCAGAGCACCACGCCAGGCTCCACAGGGAGTATCAGCACTGGGCCTGGAGATGCATCCCCTGGCAGAAATGCAGACAGGGAAAAGCAGAACAGCTAAAGGAACAGCAGAGCAGAGCAAACAGCTTCTAAAAGGAGAAAAAAATTCTTCCAGGTTGAATAATCTGAGGTTTTACTGCCAACATCCAAGGAAGCTTGTGGTTTTGTGTGTTCCTTATAAAAAAGAAGAAGCTGTTTTTTTGCAAGTTGAGCACATTGATTTAAAAATGAGCAGTTAGCTCATCCCTGTGGAACGGAGATGACATTTCTGCAGTGCCAGTGCTGCTGCAGTGGGGTGGGGAGGGACAGGCAGGCTCTGGGGGGGTGTGCCAGGCAGGGGCAGTAACGCCACGGGCCTGGCTCCTTGCTGCCTGAGCAGAAGTGAGGGGAGCTTGGTGGGCTTAGGATGGCAACCAGTGTCACATCTCAGGACCACCAGCTGGTCTGTCATGTTTGCTGTGCCTGGCACTCTGCTGGAGAGAGGCCCAGAGCAGAGGCAGGCAGAGGTTTGGCTGATATCTTGTAGAGCTAAGCAGAACAAGAAAAAGTCATGTCGGGGAGAAAAGATGGAAATGTTTTGTGTCTTGCTGAAATTCCTCTCACTGTCTACCCCGTACCCACGTCCTGAGAGGAATGAAGGATTCAGGGGGAGTCCAGGACTGCAGCTGGGCAGGAGAAGGGTGATGGCAGAGCTGGGCTGGCAGAGGAGAGGAGAGAGAGACGTTGGCTAGAGAGCTAAAAGCCTGAAAAGTCTTCTCTGAAGAGTTACCTCACCCTCTGAAATCACAGAACAGGCAGAGCAGGTTTGGAAAATGAATCAATGATTCTGAATACCACAAAGTGGACTGTTACCACCGAGACGTTTTCATTCTAGCATCTGTCCTTGTCAGAAAACCTGAAGTCTCTTTCCTTTTGCAATTTTTTTGTAAGTGCAGGTCCCAGTGGGGAAAAGAAAGGAGCAAGCAGCTCGACTGCAGTCTCCTCACAGGGTTATCCTCTTGGCAATGCCCCAAGCTGTTATCTAACACACCAGTCATTAACTTTGCAAAGGATCCATTGCCCAGAGATAATTTCTTCAGCAACACTTTGACATGTCAAGATAAGGAATGTTTCTTTGCTGAGAGCAAGAGTGAGAATGTGGAAGTGCAGAGGGGCAGAGAGACTACTGGGGCACAAGGCAAAGCATGGAAAAGATTGGCATAGGGAAGACCCCAGCAGGGTTTTAAGGGATTTCACTGAGAAATGATTGAAGCAGTGTTTGAAGGCTCCTGTGTTGTCTTCCACCTCCAACTTTGAAATAGCTAAAAGGGGAGTAAAGATGGAGAAGAATGGAGTTTGAGAGTCACAGCTTACTGCTGGAGAGTGTAAAAGCTAAACAGGGAAAATAACACAGGCAGGAAAGAAAGAGGTGGCAGTGCAAATGGAAAGTAATTTTTAAAGAGTGAAAAGAGAGAGGATGAAGGCCTTGAGGGAAGGAGAGCAAGAGGTGATGCAAGAGTGGGGAAAATATCCCTGTTCTAAATCGGGTTTCCTTCCCAGGGGCTGTGTGGCAATGCTGGCTCCTAGTGCACCTCTTTCCTCATGCAGGTCAAAGGAGATTGAGGCAGTTGGCTGCAGTGGGGATGCAGCTTTCTTGGAGGTGAGAGTGCAGCAGTTGGTGATTGAGTTCATCCTGAATCACGTGGATCAGCTCTTCAGCAACAACAGAAAAGCCAGCTCTGCAGAGAACATTGGTAACAAGCTCCCTGAACCACTCCACACCTCACTTGCCATGTACTCCAGCTCTAACTATCCCCTTTGACTAATGTCTCAGACACATCAACCCTTGCCATCCTCACAGACTCACCCAAAGACACCTTGAGCCCAATCCCTTGTTACTCTTCACCTCCTCAGACCTGTCTCCAATATTTTTTTTTGAATACCAGCCTCCTTGCCCTATTGCTCATGTTTTGCATGTTCTCACCTGGATTAACACTTTCCACAAAAGGAAGACCACCCGACAGCTTCTCAGTCCTGCTCTAAGCTTCCTGCCCAAGCCCCTCGGCCACAGTCTCAGTTCTTCCCTCAGGCACCCCCAGTTAAAGTTCCCCACACCAGTGATACCTCCTGCAGCCCTCTTTCTGTTTTGCACACTGTGAAGACTCATAATAGTCCCAGAGGTGAGGGAGCAACCACCTTTCTGCTTTCCAGCCTCGTGTCAGCTCCTCCATCCACCTTTCCCTCAACATGTGGCATTCTCTGCTGGGCTGTTCCTGGAGCCCTTCTTTCCAGTGGGGTGCCCTGCTCAGCCTGTAATGCCCTTGCTCTGCCAATGTGAGTGCCATTCCCATGCCCTCATTTATGCCCTGGCAGATGGCACAGAGTGAGGAGCTGCTCCCCTACTGCCTTGAGTATTGTAGCAAGACACTGGCTAGTAAATTCTGAGGCTTCTGGTTGTACTGCAGGTCACTGACCCAGAGCTGGCCTGAGTTTGGTAAGTACTGAACACTGCTGGCCCTTAGCAGCTGTATGGAGGCAGGAGAGGAATATGCTGATGGTCCCAGTGGATTTCTTAATGGGAAAGTGCCTCTTCACTCAGTGCCTCTGCACAGGCAGCAGCTTCCACCCTGCTTCAGCAACAGGGCTACGTACTGAGTGGATCCCAGAGCCTGTGCTTCCTTCAGGAGGTGGTCTGTTTAGGACAGGGCTCTTTTTGGGGTGATATATGGGAAGCTGGATTTGCCACTGCCCATGTAAACAGAGACCTACAGGTCCTAGGGCTATTGGTCACACTGTTCCCCTATCCCAGAAATTCATTAGGAAAATAAAATAATGCTGGTTTTTAGAATGTTCATCCTTCCTGAAGCAAGGCAAGGAAAGTGATGTGGAAGTGGAATAAAGAAGTAGGCACCAGGTTTGGATTGAGGACTGAACTGCTCCAAAATCTGGGGAGGGAGGGAAGGAGGGAGGAGAAAGGGGAATGTGTGAATCCTGGTGGTTTTCAGCAGCAGAGGCAGCAAATCTGTGCCACACAGCCTTTGGCTCTGAGCGTGGTCCCTTGCTGGGAATGCACTTGGATGATGTTCTTGGGGCACAGAAGACTTATCTGACAAAAAGCTGCTTTCCCTGCACGTGCCACTCCTTTCCCCCCTGCACAGGGGACGCTGCAGCCAAACACAGGCAGATGAAGCTCCTGCCCTGTTCTCTTCTCACCACGGGCTGGAATGTCTGTTCTTGCTTTCCAGAGAGCACATCGGTTGTGAAGAGCCTGACCCTCCCCTCGGCCTCCCTGCCCATGAAGCTGGTGAGCCTGGAAGAAGCTCAGGCACGGAGCCTGGCTGCCTCCCACCCTGCTCGCAAGGAGAGAAGGGAGAACAGCTTGCCTGAAATTGTCCCTGTGACTGGCTCCCTCTTCCACACGGTTGTTGACCTCCCCGACAGCAAGTGAGTGCCCAACAGCGAGGTGCAGGTTGCCCAGCACGAGGGGGAAGGAGACGTTTGTTACTGTGATACCTGTGTGCATGAACCTACAGCCACCAGCCACAGAAAATTGTCCCTTCCTCGAAGGAGGCACAGCTGCTCCTGAAAATGTTATGCTGGTTGGTCCACAGATCCACTAGTCCTCACCCCCCTGGTGGGGCAGAGCCCTGCAGACCTCCTGCAGGAGGAATTCATTGGCTTTGCATTCTTGCATCAGCTCGGGGTTTGGCTAAAGGAGGACAGGGTGGGACACAGCTCTTCTCAGGGTCTGGCTAAAGGAGGACAGGGTGGGACACAGCTCTTCTCAGGGTCTGGCTAAAGGAGGACAGGGTGGGACACAGCTCTTCTCCAAGTCCCACCTGCTGGTGGCTGCTCTGTGGTGCACCTGGTGGCACTGACCTGCTCAGTGTCATCTTCTCCAGGATCCTCTGGGAGCCCAGCAATCAGGCAAAGTCTCCTTCCTAGCATGGAGGGATATTTACACAGTGGCACCTCTGCCACTTATGCTTACGTCCTTGACTTCAGCTGGGGATGCTGCAGTTGGTGGCACTGCTGCCCAGCATAAGTATTTATCTATTGATCTCTCTGTTAATATATGGCCACTCTACTGCTTGGTTCTGAGAGATTACAGCCTCTGCAGCAGGAGGCTCATTAATCTGCTGACCCATAAGGCACCAGAGCAAAGAGATTTATTTGCACTTGATATATTAAAACAAAAAGCAGGCATCTAACAGAATACTGGCACGAGGATGACCAGCCTAAGACAAAAGGGTGTATTTATCACTTGAAGAGAGCAGTCTGATCCCTGAGATGGTAATCCTCTTCCTAGGACAGATTTGTGCTCTTCTGAGTACTGAACTGACAGAAGAACAGAACTGTGGGGGTAGAAGGCCCGTTATGGAGAGCAAGAGAGGGAGATAAGAGGGCTCCTGCTCTCCTGGAGGAGGGAGGTTGAGGGAGGAGTCAGGGTGGCTGTGTGGAGAAACTGAAACAGCTTCATGCAGTGATCCACACGGAGGAAAACACATCAGGAGCAGCAGCTTCTTTCTGTTTAAAGTTGGGATTTCCAGAGAGACACAGGGACCTGGTGCCCTGCTTGCCCTGACAGTTACAAGAAGTTGCTTTAATTCCCTTTAGCCGACTCCTTTTTGGTTAGCACGTTCTACTTGCATGTGATCATATAACATCTACAATTAAATTAACGTGGACTTCAGAAGTACAGTCAGTTTGTATGAAGGGATCCTTTTATCTTCACAAATTCATAAAAACGATAAAACCTGGACTTCAAAGGACAGCTTTGTGCACTGAGTGATAGTTCCATCAGTTCTCTGAAATTTATCTTGCATTCTGTCATTAAAACCTGTTAAAAAGGTACTTTTTTTTTTTTTCCTTTATTTTCTTGCAAGATAGCTCTAGCTACTGAAGTCTCTCCTTTCTGGAGACAAAGATGGTTAATCACTCAGTCAGTCACAGTTGCTGTAGCATGATGCCAGAGCCAGCTTAGGTGTCTTTCCATCCATGACACGGTTAAAGCAGCACTACAGATAAATCACTTACAGAAAGGCAAGAGCTGCTTGTGCAGCTGTGCCTTGCCTGCCTTAGAATGAAAAGCTATTGGAGAGGAAAAGAGGGACGGTGTTGAGGGGAGGGAGCTCGGAGGCTTTTTTGGGATATTAAAAAGACAACCTCCTGAGCCCTTTTTCCTTCCAGGAGAAAATTATCTACCAAGTCCAAGAAATGGAAGTCGATATTTAACTTGGGCCGTTCTGGCTCCGAGTCGAAGTCTAAGCTGAGTCGAAACGGGAGCGTCTTCGTCAGGGCCCAGAAGCTTTCTGGTAAGAAGACCTTTTCCAGCTCAGTGTTCATCTCTGCAGCTTTCTCCTGCCACATTGATAGCATGGAGCAACCTGGACCCACATGCCACTCATACCATTAGACTTGAGATGGGCTCATGGGATCGTGTTTGTTGTCTGCTTGCATGTGCATCTCCTTGTCTCGTGATGGTGAGGAGCACCCTCTCAGGGGGGTATGCCACAGCCAGTAGTCCATTTTGGTGTGTGATAAACAGGCTCCTGTTGTCCAGCTGTCAAGCCTGGGTGCTAGGAAATGCTGTGTAGGTTTGGGTCAGTCCACAGTTCCAGCCTATCCAGCCTCCAGCTCCTAATGTTCCTTACATGGCTCCCACACACGTGTGAATCGCTGTCCTTCCACTCAAGGGCATTAAAGAACTGACTGTGTTCAGTGCATTTATGGGAAGCAGGGTGCCAGGAGTTCCCGTGTCTTCTGGGGCTCAGCGTGTGAAGGGAGGCTGTCACTTTTGCAGGGTTTATGAGAGAGAAGTTGTCTTTTCTCCTGGCTGTAATCCCGAGTTGTAGCCCCTCCTGAGCTGCAATCTCTTAAACACTCTGCCTCCTAGAAAACCACACGGGCAGTGCCAACTCCCAGCACTCAGAAATGATGGCTCAAGTTCTAAAAATCATAAAATTGACTTAAAAGTAATCATAATTTTTAAAAGAGAGCATACCCCTGTTTATCTGAGTTCATAAAGAAGTGTTTTGGGTTTATATGCCCTAGATTTTTTTACTATGCTGAAATCCAGAAATTTACTTTTTAAGAAGAAGATGAAGATGCTCATGACTTCAGGGATTGGTGTTTGGAGGAGTATTACCAAACACTGCAGGGCTTAAAATGCAATAGTTAATGTTGGCAACATCACCTAGATCACATAAAAGAGAGGCTGTGTTTGCATCAGAAGTGAGTGTGAAGCCAAATGCTGGATCCAGCTCTTTTTGGACCCCTGCCTTCCCCCATATTTTGCATGTACAGATGGCTTCACACAGGGTGCCCATGGCAGACCTCAAAATAGCCCTCCATCCTATTTTGATCACGGGATCACCATCTTGCTTTGATAAGGAATACTCTGTCCCAAAATAGTGCCCAGCCGGGGATGCCTCGGAACGGCTGGAGCCCAGCGATCGTGGGGGTGAGCCTGGTTCCACGTCCAGTCCTGAGTGACAGCAGACTGGCTGTACATTTTGGTCATCAGGACACTCAAAACCACACCCGTGCACAGAGATTTCGGCACTGAAGTGGTGCTTTTGAGGAGCCGTTCTTTGGTGCTGCCGTGTGGTGTGTTTACATGCTCTCTGCTCCAAGCTGAGTGTGAAGAAACAGATGAACTTGCTGCTGAAACTCAGCACGTGCTTTAACGTAGTTTGTGCCCGTGCACCCAAGTCTGCAAGTCACAGAAAACATGAGCTGAGTTCTGTTCCTCTGGGAAAGTGGAGCCAGTGCTCAAGACATCATGCCATATAAACAAAAGGTAGCCAGGGCTCCTGAAAAATGCAAAGAGTCGCTGGAGTTCCTCCTATGCTCACGTGAACGTTAGTACTAGAAGCCTTAATTACATAAACAAATGAAGGCCAACAAGCTTGCTCACTTTGTGCAACACTGTAAACAGTTAAATTCACTACCAGACATTTTCCAGAGCTCCACGGACCCTTTTTGGGCTGCTAGGAACTGATTTGGCTTCCTTGCCAGCTACATTCCCCCCATCTCCCCGTTTCAGAGCAGTAACAGCTACACACTTCCAAAACCTCTTGGGGACAGACCTGTAGAGTGTCTGCAGCTCGTTTCTGCACAAGCAAGTCCAGTGAGGATGACCAGGAAAATAGGTTGCTTACTGCCCCCATAAATTCCTGGAGTGCTCGCTGGAGGCAGGGCATGCTCACGCCAGCAGAACAGCCTGGGGGAGCACTGTAAAAATAACCTCACATTTGCTATCAGGAATGGGAGGTGAGAAGGCATTTGTGTCAGTTTAGTTAATAAGTCCCCACGACCAACAGCCTGACTTGAGTGGGGAGGGCAGAAGAGCTTTGGGGATGCTCAACTGCTTCCCCCCAGGGAAGGTGCTGACCAGCAGGGTTAAGAATAGCCCCTGGGCAGCTGCAGAGCTGCTCCCAGCACCAGCAGGTCCCGGCTGTGCACACACGTGGTGGGGGGATCAGCTGTGTGGTGTGGGTGCAGAGGGGCAATGCCTGGAAATGGAAAGAGCTTTGATGTCAGCCTGGCATGCCCATCCATATGTAGCCTTTGGTCTTTGTGGGCCGCAACCTGCAAAGCTGCAGGAACTGAAGCCTGGTTCTGAAACTCCTTTTCCACAGAAAAAGCAACTATTCGGCCTGCGAAGAGCATGGACTCGCTGTGTTCCCTGCCAGTGGAAGGTGAGACATCCACTGCCCGTGCTCCAAGGGTGGAGGGCTGGGCCTCTGCACCCCCAGCTTTCCCCCACGCTTCCTTGGATCTCACCATGTTGCCTATCTTCGTGTGCTTATGCCGTGGCTGCCCACCTCTGTATGCACCCATTCCTAACTCTTTTTTTCTGTGTCTTTCATGTTGGTGCATGCCCCTGAGAACCATCTCTGTGCCTAGCTGTGCCTTTATTAGCAGCTGGGTTGCTTTGGTTTTGTTCCTGGTTGTTATGGGCACAAGATTCCCACTCATAAGTGAAAAGTACTTGCTCTAAGCTGACAAAGCCTGAAGCTGTAAATCTTTGTGGGCAACACGTGCTTGGCTTAGACATGGCTGCATCTGACTGAGAGAGGCCCCTAACAAAAGTCTTAGGTGATTTTTACTAGAAGGCACCCTAACCAGCCCTGCCTGCCTGGTTTGAAGGAGGCACCAGGGCTGGAGCCTGAAGGGTCTTCAGCACCTTCTGTCTCAACGCTTTGCAGAAACGTGGTTTTCAGGGCAGAACACATCCCTGGAGGGGCTGGGGAGGGCTCCTCGCAGGGGAAGTTTGCTACTGCTTTGCTTCTGACTGACTTCCTCATCTCTAGGGGAGGATGAAAAGAGCAGGTTCAAGCGGACAGTGACTACTGGAGGGTTTTTTGTGCCGGTGATGAAGATACGGACGGGAGGCACAGGCAGCTCGTATGACCTCAGCAAGGAGAATGAATGGGAGCGGGAAGGATCTGCTACGGGAGGCAAAGGAAGCTCAGAGCTGAGTGGGGAGAAAGGTCCTCCCCGGACACCTCAGGCCAAGTCACCCCCCGAGCAGCTGAAGGTCTTCCGGGCGGCGGAGGATTCTGAAAGCGACCAGACGT